GGGGGCTGCTCCCCTCCCCAGGCGAAGTGCACGCAGGCAGCTTCTGCCGAGCCACCCAGCGCCTCCCAGCACGCAGCTTGTTGGGAAGAACCTGTTTTTCCCCAGTTCTCTTCGACCTCAGAAGTTGTGTGAATTTATTTTCTTTCCCTTCTCTCTCTCTCTCTCTTCTTTCCTCCCTAACCTGTTCCCCTCGGTAAAGCACCAGGAGAGGTAAGAGGTCTGTGTAGATGCGTTTTCAGCTGGGAGAGGTTTGGGCTTGTTTTCTCTGTCTTGGTTAAAGTAGTGTGGCTTCAGAGTTAAATGATGTAAATGCATCCTGTGCCACAGAGAAAATATTTGCTCAAGCCATTCTTTGAATAATTGCCTTTTTTTTTTTTTTTTCTTGTTGTAGAGAAAGATTTGTCAACTGTTAGTTAAAGTGAAAAGTACTCTTGTAAAGGACCTTGCTAGGAAGATGAAAATACAGGATCCCAGTGTTTTTAGCTAAACAGCTGCATCTTGATCAGTCTGGGTTCACTGAGAATAGCAATGATAACAATGAACTTTTCAGTTGTTTAATTCCATGCACTAGATGTAGGATGATTAACTATGATACCGGAAGTTTCAGAAACAGTCGTGTATGTGCACTTATAAAATAGTACATAAATAGCTTTATTCAGAAAAGCACTAAGTAGTAATGTTTCTCAACTCTGCTTTACAAATATTAACTTTAGTCTGGATTATATTTGCTTTGGCAGTGTTATTTTTTCAAGGATCACTGCAATGACTTAGGTGAAGTGACTCCAGATTGATATCACATAACTGAAATAATAACTTCTCTGAGGATCAATAGGTGATATTTCCTATTAATACACCCCCTTGAATGTTAACCAATTGATTTACATTATGACAACAAGAAATTCAGGTTGCAACATAATTAGTTTTAGATATAAAACAATTTTAGTTACCATTTCATCTTCTTTGCTACCCCACCCACTTGATGTTTCTAACCACATTTGTGACATCATGCTTATCTAATTATTTATTTAAGGAAGATAATTACCACTGCTTTGAGTAGTTGTAGAATTAAAATATAGCATAATTTCCATTACTATAAAAGTCTGTCATCACATGTAAAATTATTGTAAATGTACAAATAATTCTTAAAAGCTATTAAAGTATTCTGACTAGTTTTCAATGACTTCTGGATTTCTACCTTTATACCATGTATGTTTAATTTTCTGCAGCTCAGGGAATTCTTGAAACTCAGAGTCACATGCTTAACTTAGAAAAAACACTTTTTTGGTTATTTATATAAATTTTAGTCATTTCATTAAGTGCTTACAATTAAGTATGTAGACTGATACAGCTTGTAGGCAAAGGAAAAGTGACATTAATACTGTCAGAAAAAATTAATAACCAGGCCTGATCCTCTCTGTGCTGGAACATTATGTCCTACTTTGCTCTGAGAGCATTGTTGTGGATTTTTTTTAAATCATCCTACTAAACCCCAAAGGTATAGTGGCAGCACATCTATCTGGCCAGCTTTTACCTGGATGAAGCTGATTTAGTAATACATAGAGGGAGATAGTTTTGCTTTTCTCATCCAGAATGATCTGCTAATCATTTGAGAGAGAACCAGAACTGTTACACAATTGCCTTTATGCGTAAACAGTGTCATGCCATTAATATTCTACTAGTTTTCCAATGTTGCGGGGAATAAAGATTAAGCTCTGATTGTTACATTGTGGGAAGCTTAAACTCACTTAGTAGTGTTACTTATGGGCAAAATTGGATTTCCAATTAGTGGTGCTCATTTGCCCCTTTGATGCATGCTTTGAAGGGCTAATGATACTCTATATGTAACTAATGTATTCACATGACAATTGAGGTTGTAATACTTGCTCAGTTTTCTCTTTATTCAGTTGGAAGTGTAAGATTTGTATTAAGGTAGAAGACAATTATGTTTTAATGTTTTTATTACGTACTCCTAAAAAGTAGTGACCCTTCCTGTAAACTCCCCATAGCTTTGATTCATACTGTATTAAATGCAAAGCTTAGTGGTTATCAATGACACACTTAATAGGTTTTTTTCAGCTTTGGACTCACATGTGACTGTCCAATGTCACATCCATCTAGAAAAGACACTTGGTATATAATTATTCTAAATTTTCTTGATAGACTTCCTTCTGCAAAGTATTGAAAATCCCATTGAAATTGTTGAGTGTTATAACCTCCAATTAAACTCAGTTCTTTCAAGAGATACCTCCAGGCATTTATGGGATCGTACCATAAAAATGAGTTAATTGAGTGTACAAAGTATTCTAGGAAGCAGTGTGAAAAGCAGACAACGTATCTATAAGTAATGCATATTTCAGAATCTGATTTATCTAACCAACAAAGCTCTATAAACTTAAAGCTGAAACCTTCTGAGACCTGGCATTACTCATAGATATATAAACTCAGGAACTACGTACAGAGGGATGAGATAGTTGAGGAATTACTAATGGTTATTACTATTAGGATGAAAATAGTATTTTCCTCCCAAACACTCTTGTGTATGGAAAAATACTAACATAAAGTGTGCCTTAGCATGGAACTACACATTCATGCCTGCAGATGGCGAGCAATATGTAAAATGCAAAGCACTTTCAGTCTGTCGATCCTGCTGCTGTTATGATCTCATATATGTTTTACTAAATTATTACTTTATTAAATATCACACAGAGTCCAAGGCATTGCTGCTTATGTGCTTGTTGCTATTTATTTGATTTGCAGATGAAATTCCTACAGTGGTTGGGATCTTTAGTGCATTTGGCCTTGTCTTCTCTGTCTCCCTTTTTGCTTGGATCTGCTGTCAACGTAAATCTTCCAAATCCAATAAGACCCCTCCATATAAGTTTGTCCATGTGCTGAAGGGGGTTGATATTTACCCTGAGAATCTCAACAGTAAGAAGAAGTTTGGAGCAGATGATAAAAATGAAGCAAAGAACAAATCAGCGATGCCAAAGAATTCTCTCCATCTTGACCTGGAGAAGAGAGATCTAAATGGCAACTTCCCCAAAACAACCCCTAAAATCCAGAGCTCTCCAGATCCTGAAAATTTGTCTCCTAAGCACTTTGTAGAAAGGAAGAAAGATTCAGTATCCCCTGATAGTTTAAAATCTATCACTTCCCTATCATCTGAAGATAAACAAGACAAGCTAGGAACTCTCTATTTCTCCTTAGAGTACAACTTTGAGAAAAAGGCATTTGTAGTGAACATCAAAGAAGCACGTGGGTTGCCAGCAATGGATGAACAGTCAATGACTTCTGATCCCTACATCAAAATGACAATCCTGCCTGAGAAAAAGCACAAGGTGAAAACCAGAGTGCTGAGAAAAACCTTAGATCCAGCTTTCGATGAGACCTTCACATTTTATGGGATCCCCTATAGCCAGATTCAAGATTTAACACTTCACTTTATAATCTTGAGCTTTGACAGGTTTTCCAGAGATGATGTCATTGGAGAAGTCCTCATTCCCCTCGCAGGAATTGAATTGTCAGAAGGAAGGCTGCTAATGGACAGAGAGATCATCAAAAGAAATGTTAGGGTAACATATTTTTTATTTCAACTTTAAAAGTATTGTGCTAGTGTTAGCTATGATTCTTATGTAATGCTGCTAGCATCTTGGAAAGAAAAGGGAACAACGTCATCATGCAAGTCATGGAGACGCTTTCATAATGGCAGTATGAGGAAGCAATTACACAAATGTAATAAAAGTACATTACAATGACCGTGTTGCAAGAAATTCCTAATGCCCTAAAACTCTACCTACTTATTCAGCTGGTCCAGAAGGTTTGAGTGGACCCATTTGCATTAGGTCAAGAGGCCTCAATTCACATTAATTTGCTTTAAAGGGAAAGAATGCAGAGATTTATATATTATTCCCCTTCTCCTACCTCCCCTCTTCTGTTTGAAATTGTTCTTTCTTAAAGCTTATTGAAGTCAATGTATATCTTTACTTCAACTACATGGCTTTTATAGCAGATTCTTAAAGAATGTAGGTAGCCTTTAGTTAAGGAACTGGAACCTGTTAGAGACTCTGTTGTTGATGCAGTAGTATGTTCTTACACTTCAGTGCTGTTACTACCTTTTGTCTCGAGAACTGTGACAGAGGCTGCAGCTCTACTAAGGATGGTAAGACATGAGGGAGAAGCCAAAGCCTTACCAAAGTCCATGGCAAAACACACTGACTTCACTGGGCTAAAAGTATTTCATACCATTTTGTCTCATTTCAGAATGTAAAGATCACTTCAATGATTTAAAATGCCAGCCAGGGTTAAACCACATGACCTTCACAGCTGAACCACAGAAATGCACATGCATCACTACACATCTCTTAATCTCTACTAAGGAAGTGGAATGTGTATTGACTTTCAAGTTGATTGTTTTCAAACAGCAAGCATGTTGCCAAATCAAATAAATGTCTACTAGACAACATACCTATAACTAATAATACTATTTTGCAATTCCATTAATATAATACAACAACTATAACTATGTCACTGATATTTTGTTGATAACTTATTGGGTTTTCTGGTATATAAGTTATTATTTTTGCTTGTTTCCCTTGCATTCATCCTTTCTGTGAAATAAACTACTCCTGCAAATTCAAATCTAATAATCATAGAGAAAGTCTTTGATCTCATTTTTATTTCATGTATATTGTACTACTTTAGACAGTGTTAGGTATGAAATTTCACTAACTGTTTGAATCCTTCCTGTGTAAAAACATTTTACTGAAGAGGTTGGGTTTTTTTAGGGTGTTGGGGTTCGGTTTTTTGGTTTTGTTTTTTTTTTTTTTGGTTGGTTTGTTGTTTTTTAATTTGCCTTTGTTCAATTCTTATTTTTCAATATTTATTTTACAGAATTTTATTTTGCTTAAGAACTTTTTTGTTCACTGAGATTTTTTTCTCAGGATGTAGGATTTCATTTCTAATCTCTGAAGCTAATGATGTCAAGTCAAGCTATATTTTCACATATTATTCATTTTTGTTCAGTCTAATAACAAACCATAAGAACAGTTATACAACTATAATAGAGGGAAATTATATTTGCTATGTAAAGCAGCATAGCTCCATAAGGTATATATATCCTCTTATACCATATCAGAACATATAGTTATGTGACATTTCATAAATCTTCTTAATTCTGGTTTAAAGCTTGGTCAATATAATTGCTTATAAATAGTCTTATTTGTTTTTTTTCTTTCATTTCCTCAGAAATCATCTGGGCGTGGAGAATTACTGGTCTCTCTCTGTTATCAGTCTACAACAAACACACTCACTGTGGTTGTTTTAAAAGCCAGGCATCTACCTAAATCAGATGTGTCAGGATTATCAGGTAATGGTTTTATTAATGAATATGCCCTAAGAATATAAAACAGACAGAAGAGAGCTGCAATGTGGCATTTCATAGACTAAAAATATCCCCTAAATGCAGAAATGGTGTCTCTATTATTTGCAGCCTATTCATTTTATTCACATCTAGGTCAATGCTTTATTTTCCAAGATATGTATTTTATAAATTTGTTCTTCAATCACATGTTAAAAAAACATGACATCTGTTAACAGTGGAAACCAATGAGTTTTGTGATTGTCTTGAGCAAAACCCATCTGCCATAAGTATGAGATGTTTTTGGCAGATAAAAAAGCTTTTATTTATGACAAAAAAAATAAAAAAAAATCAGTTTATTTGTAGAAGATCAGTATTGAGTGAGAATATCATATGGTTTATTTCAGCTTAGTACCAAGAAAAGCAACCAGTTACATCTGTGCAGAATTTGGCCCACTAAGCACTAACATTTATTTGGCAAAGTGAAAAGGTGAACTATGCCGGTGTTGGAAGCAGGTTGTGACATAACACCCATGCTTTATCATGAGCTGTACTTTGGGTGCACTAAGAAGGAGCAGGTTTTGCACTCCCTTCTCCTGGTCTTGTTGTGCCATTTTGCATTTAGTGGAACCTCCTTTGAAGCCAATACTAGAACTGCACGTAGATGTACATAAATACTAGATAACATAATAACAGAATAAAATTTAATGTACTATATAGTAAGGATAAGACAACCACAGAAAAAGAACAGTACACAACAAAGGAATATACAAAGAGTAGCACATCTGCTGTTGATTCTGTATAGGACTGGGAGTCTTTCATTTTTACAGGAGTTTGTTGAAAGAAGCAGAAGAAGTAGCAGCTTTGGGAACCACTGAATCATAATTACTACAGCCAATAATACAGTCTTTCTACTTCTCATACCAAGAAATACTGCAATTTACCTAGAGAGCTAACCCATCCTGGATCCAATAAAACAAAGCTATAGATTAGTCCTATTTACATGGTGGAGTTCCATTGAAATCTTCCTTCTGATCTCAATTTTATTCACATATCATAAGGAGAAAAGATATAAAAAATGGAACCCAACAGTTTACTCCACTATAAGAGAACATACATTCTTTTGATAATCCACCCCAAAGTCACAGCAAATAGTGGAAGTTCCATGAAGACAGCATGAGAGCAAGCTGATCTCAACAAAGTTTGGCTGAGAAAATAAATTGAAAACAAAAGCCCTCCTAGTCTCAGCAGCCACCTGGACCCTATAGCACATCCTGACTATTCATTTGTCTACTGTACCTCTTATGAATAAAGCTATAAATTCTGTTTGCTCTTTCTGCTTCCTTCAGTACAACCTTGCTAACTATAATAGGAATATCATGTTTCTAAGAGATACAGGTATCCATGCTACACCTGGACACCTAGTTCATTTAGACAGTTCTTCATTATTTGCTGTTCATCAGAAAAGCCAAGTTCAATAGATGTTTGGTTATCAGTAGCATACTGCACTCACAATAGTCCTTATTTCCTCTGTGACTTTCACCTCAGCCAAAATAAATCTTGGACAAATAGGAGGGTGAAATGGTGTTTCTATGGGGTCAACTAAACAGATGCATAAATCAAACTCTTTAGAAAGATGGGAACTTTTTTACTCAGAAGCTGTTCCATTCCTATATCTGCCTTTGTTTCCTTTATTGCTGGTGTTGAGGTCTCCTAATAGACCTAATAAAATCAAGAGCAACATTCTAGCCGTATCTAATAGATGGTCAGAAGTAACAGTCAGAAATTGTCCTTTAAACTGAAGTGAACAACAGTGTAAATCCACTGATGGATACTGAATTTGATATTATTAATGCTTGTGTAGCATATATACATTCCAAAGCCAATGAAAATTTAAATTATATTAAACCCTATTTTTAGGATGTTGACTATAGTGATAGAGTATGAAAGTGAAGATGTATTCTGTCATATCTTACTCCTGTTAAACTATTGTCAGTTCAAAGAAACAAAAAGCTTTTCACCATCCAACCATTTCAGTCTGATAACTTTGGCATAACATTTCTAAAAATGGTTCATTTTTAATTTTACTTTTTTAAAAAATGTATTCAACTATTCTTGATATTTATTAACTGATTGTTTACATAGACTATCTTGTTTGACTGTTCAGTAGAAAGGATTTTGTATTGCATCTTTGCACCATGAGAATTTGGAAAAAGTACCACATTTGCATTGAAATAAATGCCAAGGTACTTGAAAGGGATTTTTAAAGCATTCTCTAGAATTCCTCTGAAGGAGGAATCTAGCCATTGTTGAAGACATTAGCAGAGGAATCTTGCAACAATTGAATAATTACGGAGAATGCAAACAGACAAAGTTAGTTGACAGCTTAACATATGCACATTTTCCCTTCCCTTCTTCAACAATAGTACAGCACAGACATAAAGTCAAGTACATATCTTAACAAGAAATGTAGCTTTACATTTAGAGTTTAGTGTTAAATTTGTTCAATAAAAATTGGTGGGAGTAATTTAATCAAGGTAATTGACTTTGATAGAACCACAAGAGGAATGAATTTGACCCATTCAACCATTCTCTCAGGACAAGCTTTTTCTCTCATTTCTGAGGATCTTCTTTGCATCAGTCTTACTAACCTCAATGATTATGCCCTACTGGTAGAACATGTGAAAAGCAGATTTCTGTTACACATAAATACACAATGATATGTTTTGTCAGGGTCCATTAGAATTTTACACACTTTCAGACCACCTTTGCATGTATTAAAGACGTTATTAGGGTTAATAGACTACAGGGCAAGATTTATCTCATGAAGGAGACACCTGTATTTGGTCAGATCCTTCACAGCCTAAACTTCGCTGAGTACCTTGATTACATCCTTTGTAACCATAAAGGGAGCTTAAAGGGACTAATTCAGATGTAAACATAAAAATTGGATGAGATTAATCATCTTTAATAACTTGAAACATCTCCTCATTGTGATGTAATATGGTAAGTTATGAAATTTAGCATTGACTAGATCAAGGAATTTCTAAATGATAGTGTTCAATAGCTGATCTGTGCTCTTTCTTTTCATTGCAGACCCTTATGTCAAAGTGAACCTGTACCATGCTAAGAAGAGAATTTCTAAAAAGAAAACCCATGTGAAGAAATGCACCCCCAATGCAGTGTTCAATGAATTGTTTGTCTTTGACATTCCTTGTGAGGGCCTTGATGATATCAGCATTGAATTTTTGGTTTTAGATTCAGATAGGGGGTCAAGGAATGAAGTCATTGGCCGGTTAACCTTGGGATCTTCAGCAGAAGGAACAGGTGGAGAGCACTGGAAAGAAATTTGTGAATATCCTAGGAGACAAATTGCCAAATGGCATATGTTGTGTGATGGTTAGCAGCTTAGAGGGGGTTGGAACTTGAAAAACTATATGTATTTCCATAGGCAAGGAGCAGTTTTCTTTCTTTGCTATATATAATTACAGGCTTGTAACTACAAGACTTTTTTGGGGGGTGGGGGAATAAAAACTGGATTGAATTATCAGAACAGAAGGTAACTAAATTTTCACAGTAAATAAAGGAATTTCTATTTCACTAGACTTTAACATAATTGAATTGGATTCATAGTCTTCTGAAGTTTAAATAACCTGAAACTTCTGAAGCACTATAAACTTCAATAAGAACAGACTATGTTTTATGAAAAAGTGACTGGAAACCTTATTAGTACTGTTATATAGATAGAGATAACCTCATTAAAATATATCACTAGATCTAAAAAAAAAAAAAAACCACCTGTGGCTTATTGGAGGAAGGGGATGAGTTTGTAAAAGCCATGGGTAATGAGGGTGAGTAGGAAGGGAATTCCTTCTGTCCCACCATCAAAAGCCTTCTTTTATGAAAATTCAATCATTATTTCTAAGTTTTGGTTACTTATACTTTGATCATCCCAAAGACTGAAGAGATTTTCAGCAATTTGCTTTACATATCACATCATGTGCAACTAGTTGTTTTATGTGTGGAAATACTGTATAATTATTTACACTTGGATTTTTTTAATTTGTATATATATAACTTGTTTTATTACAGTGATTGAAATAGATACATTCTACAAATCAATAAGCAAGTTAATATACGTTGTTTTGTTAAAAGGGCTCCTTTATGAGTGACTGCACATGTTACAGTATAGCTAGAATTTGGGATTAGATATGGCTTGCATTTTTTTCCTCTAGCAAGGATTACACTTTAAGCATTTCAAGCCATGGGAAAGCATTTCTGTTGAAATGAGGTAACATACACGATATTACAGTCAATGACCTTTCACCAATTATGTTTTAAGCTATTCAGTAATACGTACAGAAAAGTTGTTTCTTCTTTTGTTTCATTAAAGAACAACAAAATAATGAGACAGAGGACAAAATCTTATTCTGCTGTTTAACTTCCTGAACTGTAAGTAATGCCATTACACTCAGTAGGACTACTCCCAGCATACAAATTTTAATGCATTTTTAAACTTTTGCAGGATAGGAAACTAAGGTCATAGTATAATTTATACAATATTATGTTAGACAAACAATTTGAAAAGTGCATTTCACCTAGATTATATGCATCAATGTCCGTTACTGATTGTACTGAAAATTGGTTGTGGTAAGGGAAAATATATCCTGATTTCATGTTAGTGTGACATATGTGTGTTTAAACTTAAACTGTGTCAGGCTGGGGGACTATCAAGTGTAACATAAACAAGTATATAAATAAAGCATTTAGACCTGTGAAATTTGGTCACAACAGATAGATTTTTAGGTTGTCAGAACGATAGCACAACTATAAACAGATTATTTCCTAAAGTTTGTACACTGATTTCTGGTATAGAATTGTTTGCAAATATTACTCCTACATCATTTTCAGTTACAATATATATAGAGAAGAATATAATGATTTAGTTGTTGACATAAGAAAGACTTAAAAAGTGGAAAACAATTTTTAGTATCTTTTCCTATGTCATTTTGTCATGTGTAATCCCACTGAAGTGAATGAGACTATTTGGGGATTAAGGTATTGCTCAATGCAAATACAGGTAACAGAATAGGCATACCAGGTAAAACAAACAAACAAACAAACAAAACTAACCCCCCCCCCAAAAAAAACCCGAACGTATGTTGGATTTCAAATTGCTTTCATTAAACAACAGACCCAAGTCTTATTCAAAACTCTTGGAGATTCACTGTTCACATTACTTGTTCTCATATGGCCAAATTATGTTTGCAGTAGAGGACACTGAAATATGAAATATGCAAGTAGACAAATAGTACTGGAAGAATTCTGTTGAGGCTCTTCCAGGTTTTGTTGTTGGTATTTTCTCCAGTTTTTGAGAATGTGTTTGATATAACAGTGTTTATAAAGTTCTGTAAAAATACATTTTCAAAATAACATAAACATGCTTTTTATGATAATGCTCAATGTAAAAAAACCTGCGTATTGTATGTACAAAGGAGAAGAATCTTTTTTGCTTCTTTCTTTAGAAAGCTGATTAACTGCTTAAGGGCTAGAGTTTGCCAGCCACATTCAAGCAGAGCTAATCCAAAGCCACCAAGTTGAGGGAAAGATGCCCACACTCTTCAATGGGGTTTGAAGTGCAATCACAGAGCAAAACTCAACCCAGGAATATCAATGGGACCATGGATAAGGGGAGTCATGATTTGATCTGATGGAGACTAGGAGAGTTTCAGTACCACACAACCAAACTTTTTACAATTTATGGTAAGGAAAGAACTTTACACTGAAAGTGATTGCATGAAAGAGAGTGGGACAGCTTGTAATTAAAAAATATTGAGGTTTTGTATATTGGCCCACAAGTAGTACATTATCTCTAAAAATGAGATGACAGGAGTCATCTGTCTCCAATGGACACAAATTTTGACATTAGGAGAAAAAAAATCCACCTTTGTGAATTAATGGTGGGCTGTGACCATGCTTCATTTTGCATCCAACAAGTCATCATCATTTTTTTTTCAACTTTCTATAGAAGCTTGAGGGTTAATATTTCTACCAGCTAAATAGCAGTTGTTGTTGGGGATAAAAGGTAGGAATAAGAAAGGGAAACAAAGTCATTTTTATTAAATCTAAAAAAAAACCTGTAAATAGAATTTTGTTTTTAATTTAAAGCAATGTTTAGCTTGGAAAGTTGAGTAAAGATGAGTTGTAACACATCTGTAAACCAGACAAGACAGGAGCGAATGTAGACCTGTACTGAGATGAGAAATTCTGCTGTTTTATAAAGTATTTAATTTTCATTGTGAATATCTTGAACTCTGTTAAGGATACTGTACTGTATTAAACATGTAAAAAAAGTATGTTTGTCTAAGTAGCTTACAAAAATAGTAACTCCTTGGATGGGAGACTATCCATGTCTGGAGATCTGTCGTAACTAAATTCCTGATTTGTTATGGTGTTGTAACTTAATAGAAGCTATTTGAGAGGAAGCATGGTGTATGAGATTTTGTAAGTTATTTGTGCTGGTTCTGTATGTTGTACCATGTGTGTAAGACAAGAATAAACTGCTGCTTTTGTTCATCCCATCCCAAAACAATTATCCCACCAATGTATCTTTTCCAGAGATTTCTGCTATTGTTTGTGTTCATGGTCTACTCTCTCATGCTTCTATCAAACAACATTTGCCTTACAAAGTCTTCCTCTTCTCATAGAGGTGGATTAGACTTGTTCTTCCAAATACTACCTGGGCATATCACATGTTCTTTATTCATAGCTTCTTGCCACATACTTACATTTGTCTTGAATTTTACTGTACACTCAGGCTAGAACCTGACACATGAGCCGTGACACAAAATCTGAGCCCTACACAAACCCTCAAGGGACTGATATACAGATGTAAATAAGAATAAATTCTAGCATATTAGGTGGAAGAAGTAAAATACAAGTCACATTACTATTGGAATTCTGGTGACATTCCGTTTGTTTTCCAGAAACAAAAATTATCACTTGGACAATCACACTGTACCAGTCTTGCTTCCTTTGATGTAAGGAAGTCATGTCAGGCACCAGCTTGTCCATTGAGTCTGGAAGTTAAAGTAGAGAAAGTATTCCTTGAAATGCTATACACAAATATAAACTTTGCTGCTGTGGTCTCTAAGGTTATTAGAGTATTTTACCAGCACAGAACCTAAATCTAGGGAAGGAAGAAGGCCGTTGCAGCTAGGATACACTTTGACGTTTAATGACTCCCATTGTGACCCTACAACAGATTACCTGGAAGGGATCCCTGGCCCTTGTCACAGAAATCAATGACAAGATCCACTAGCCAAATGCAAGAAATGGAACATCTTCCATGAGTATAAACTGGTATATTCTCTCTGGCAAATGTCAGGTATGAAGTCTGAAAGTCTGCTCTTTTCCATCCTATGCAATCACTTCTTTTTCTTACCTCCATTATACAGTTCTCCTCAAACAATGGTAATTCACATGGGTCACATTTCAGATGTCCTTCTTCAAGACAGAGCTCAAGAACTTTAGGTTTTCCAACTAGAGTGCAGCTGAGCCTAAGAGGAAGTCTCAAGGCTACTGTCCTGATTGCTATTTCTACCACAAACTGCTGCAACAGGCAAGTCCTGTGAGGCCTCAAGAGAGCCCTTACAGATGTCCTCCTCTTTGCAGGGGAGGAAATTCCTGAGATGTAATGCTACCCTGTAAGCCCCTTGTATTTATACAGCATCACAGACAGCAACATGCTGCACACACAGTAATAATGTCTAAACACAGATGTTCATGAACAGTACTTCTTTTCCTCAAACAAGATTCAAATATATCCCATGTAAGTTTCTGCCTTTTCATCTGTGCTCTCTGCTTCATGAAGTCTCATGAAACTGCTGAACAACTCATGGCACTCTTACAGCTGCTGTGACTGGTACTGGCACTTGCCTTGCCCTACTGATGACTCCTGAGCAATTACCTTCATTCAAAAAGTTCTACCCAGTTCTCATAGACTTTTCCACAATATCTTTTACCTTCAATCACTAAACAGCTGTTGTAACATGACTTTGGGTCTGGAGACTTTCAGGCAGCTTTGGAGCACTGATTACAGTTGCAGCATGACAGCGCTGTCCATTTCAAAAGAAAAAAATCAAAGTCAGGAAGAAATGGGAGGAGGTTTTGGTTTTGGTTTTGTTTTGTTTTGTATGTTATGGTTATATTTTATTGTTCTGCTAATTTTAGCTGTTGTGTGTCTGAAGTACTTTGTGCATGACCAGAGAATGTCAGTCACAGAAGTGAATGCTCTGATTATACCACCAGCAACAAAGGTGTTGTCCCATCAGATGAGTTGCTTCTTTTCAAGCCCTTCATCTCATTAGCAGGACTGAGGAGATGCCACCTAGGTCCCCATGTTTTACCCCTGACCCCTGAACTCTGCAGTCACTCTTGACATGCTCTGGGTTATCCACCAGTACTGCTGGTGCCCACATGGAAAAGCTGTAGGGCAGTCTGAGGGCTGAGCAAGCCTTAACAATTTCCTGGATCCTGGCTCCATGGCAGGCACGAAACCTCCCAAGGTTTCTTCAGGGCAGGTCAGCAGATTGGCCTCCATCCTCAGGTGGAGGGTATTTCCAATACTTATCAAACTCATCTTCTCCTTTGTGCAGATACAAGGTGTGAACTCAGTTGGCTCTGATAAATCCCTGTTTGTTCTTCTCAGAAACCAAGGCATGGTACTTGTTCTGAAGTTTCAGGTAGGGCCACTTGCTCTTATGGCTGC